CGGGGCGGGCCGCGGGGCGGGGCGGCCCCTCCTCCGCCTTCCTCCCGGTGCCCGCGAGCGTGTGGCTAGCGGGCCGCCCCGGGGGGGTCTCTCGCCCGGTGAGGGGTGGGAAGCGCGTTTCCCCCCTCACGCCGCCTTTTTTACCTCAGGTTCGGCCGCCCTGAGCGGGGAAGCGGGGGAAGGGACTGCCCGCAACCCTCACGGTGAATTCCCCCGACTCGGGGAGGGGGGAATCCGCCCCCGGGGGGAGCCCGGCGCTGGGGAGGGTGCGGGGGGGCAGCGGGAAGACGGTACCGGCGGCTGTGCCCCGGGCAGGGCCGGCCTTGTGCTGTTTTGCCACAGGAGAAAAATGGCCTCTCGGCGGATCACACGGGAGACGTTTGATGCTGTGGTGCAGGACAAAGTTAAAAGGTATCGCATGGACCGGAGCGATGCCATAGGGGACGCCATCCATCATTTTAAAGGTAACGGGCGTGAGGAGCCGCGGGTCCCGGCAGCAATTCCCTCACGGCTCCCTCCCATTTCTTCCCTTCCTTTTACCTATATTTGCCTTAAAAAAAAACCCCATGGACTTGTGCTTGGTGTTTTTCCACATCCATCTTTATTTAAGAAGCTACCGGCTCGGATTGATTGACGCTGTTTCTACGTGGAATGCAAATTCCAGGCAAAAAAAAAATAAAAAAAAAATCCGAATTTCAAACAAAGGAATTCTGTTCAGGCTGCATCAGAGAGTGGGTCCAATTTCAGGGAGGTCTCCGGAGGCATCGCTGCAGGATGGAATGCTGTTGATGTCTGATAAGTTAAATAAATGTGGGAGTGCATTTGAAGGCTTGGGGTCTTTGTATTTCGTATTATTTTTGGAGAAAAAGCTAGAAGCAGGACATTAATCGAGTGAATGTATATAAAACGTGATCTGCAATTTCTTTTAGCTTCTAGGTTTGATATGAAAAATGTCTAGAAAAACAACTTGGATTGCATTCATAGGAAATTGAGAGTTTTAAAATGAGGTCTCTTCTGTTTTCTAAGAGTTATATAAGCTCCAAAGAAATAATTTATTTTAAATACTTAATTTGTTCAAGTATTCTTTCTGAATTGAACTACTAGAATTAAGGAATAGGGATTCTTGGATGCTTAGCAGGGAAATTCTATAGCTTAGATATTGGTGTATGAGTTTGTAGAAAATGTGATGTTCTCTTCAACTGTTGGATTCCAGCATTCAGCGTGGAAATGGAAAGTGCATACTTTCGGTATTTTTCCATCTGAGGAATGTGAGTAGAAGCGTTACGAGCACGACATTAGCGTCTTCCTGGACTGAGAAAGTTGTGAGCAAGTAGAAAGTGGGGTTTAGAGCAGAATTTGCCTTTCAGCTTTAGTCAGAGGAGAAGTTTTAATAAATTGTTTTGTCATGTGTTTAGGTATTGTTAATCATGTGTTGCTTTTTGCTTATTATGAGTTACTCAATGTACACAAGAAAGCTAATGGGAATATCCTGACTAGATATGTGTACTGTTCTTCAGAAGTTTTTATTTGTTGACTGTCCTAAGTGTCTAAATGTGTTTATCAATTTTTTTTTCTTAATACTATTGGCAGTGCATTGGTGTATTTATGGTTTTCTCCTTACAGCCCATTCAAGGCCGGTCCCAAGACCAAGATACGAAGACACTTTCCACGATGATGGAAGATACGCTCACGACAACGCCCAGCACCATCCTCACGATGACTGGAGTGAAGACCCTAGAGATGACTATCCAGGACCTTCTTACAGATCTGCTAGTCCTCTCATAAGGAAAGATAACTATTACCACGAGCAGTACGGGCGTCCGGCTTCGCACGACCGGGAGTACGGGCGTCCGGCTTCGCACGACCGGCAGTATGGCCGTCCAGCTTCGCACGATCGGGAATACGGGCGTCCGGCTTCGCACGACCGGGAGTACGGGCACCCAGCATCTCGGGATCGGGAATACGGACGCCCAGCTCCTCATGACCGGGAGTACGGGGGCCTGGCTCCTCACGACCAGGACTATGGCCCTCCTGACTCCTGGGAATCCACCGCTCCACACGAAACGGACTTCAGTTCTTCAGATATTTTAGGTGATTTTAGGTCACCGGGACTGATGGAAGATGAATACGGCAACATGGAAAATCAGGAGTATGAGGTGGACTTTGGAATTCAGTCCGACAGTGAGTTTCGACCCCCGATACGGAGGGGTGCCATGGGCAGGGGAAGAGTTCTGCGAGGAAAGCGTATCGCAAGGGGCGTTGTGAAAACTAAAATATTTAAAGGAGATATCAAAACTCCCCTAAAGAAATGGAACACTAAAAAGCTGCCGCCGGGCCCTGACCAGAAGCCGACTTTGCAACCTGATCAAATGCCAGAAGCTGCTGAGCGGCCCAACCAGAGGCCGGTGACCGTCCAGCGCCCTAATCCAAAATTGCCTCCACGACCCAATCAGAGGCCACCTTTAACAACCCAGAGACCTATCCTCAGGCTCCCAAAGCCTGCCCACGTGTTCAGAAATCTCAATTTTGACCTTGTGGATAAATCGGATATTTTTTCAACCTTTGGAATAGAAATTATAAAATGGGCTGGGTTCCATGCAATAAAAAACGATGCTGAATTTTCCCGCCTCTTTGGAGCTCTCTTTGAGCTAGAGACAGAAACCTGTGCAAAAATGCTTGCTTCATTTAAATGCTCTTTAAAGCCAGAACACAGAGATTATTGTTTCTTTACCATCAAGAGTTTACAACACGCTGCTCTGAAAACTCCCAAGGTGGACAATGAGTTTTTAAATATGCTCTTGGACAAGGGGGCTGTGAAAACCAAGAACTGCTTCTTCGAAATAATCAAACCTTTTGATAAATACATCATGAGGCTCCAAGACCGCCTCCTGAAAGGTGTTACGCCGCTGCTCATGGCCTGCAATGCTTATGAATTAAGCATTAAAACGAGTGGGTTTGGTAATCCAAGAGAAATGGCAAACGCTTTCGAGACCACTGTTTCTCTTTGTCGTAAGTCCTTGGCCCTTCTGGGTCAGACCTTTGCCCTGGCGTCTGTTTTTAGGCAAGAGAAAATACTTGAAGCCGTAGGGCTCCAGGAAATGGCTCCGGCACCAACTCTCTTCCCAAACTTTGATGATTCAACGTTGTTTGGAAGAGAGTACATTGAAAACTTGAAGGCTTGGTTGGAGAAGAGCGGGTACCCGATTCAGATGAAGAAAGCGGAGCCAGAGCCCGCGGCACAGCTCGATAAACCCTCTCCTGACACAAACCTGAAAAGTGAGTGAACTGTTGTAAGATGCTTGGCAGCGTAGAATCTCTTTATTTGTCACTAGTGTTTTATCTTCATTTTTGTGGTTTCATTAGGTCAGGAATTCCTAATTCTGGGAATTCCATGTAAATGCCTAGCAGCACTGTAGTGAGTGCTGTCTGTCGTAACGATCGCTTTCAGCTTTGTGGATGAAAGCACGTCTCCTTCCTCCCCTCACCTGCACGTGCCTGTACTTTGCATCCAGGATGTTCCCCTTGTGCTGTGGCTGCTTGAGCTGCCCTCCCTTCAGTTCCACCAGCTCCACCAGCACCACGCTGGGACTGGTGATGGCCCAGAGTCAGCATTTGCATATAGGCAAAGTCAGAGATAGTACCATTGCCACTGCCATCAGAGATACAGGCATATTTCTTTGGAGTTGTTTATATCCTACCATCTATAGGAATGCTGTTTCCTCTACTCTGCTGCGCCACCTAGTTCATCCTCTCTCAAGCATTTTTGCTCATTAATATATTCATCTGGTTTTTCCTAATTGAACTTCAGACACTTCCGCAGGGAGATCTTGCAGCACTGGCTCTGAATGGCTAATAATTTGGAACTCACACCATCAGAGTAGTGTTCAAATATACTTGTTTTGCACAAAGCCCTTTTGGTGCAATAAGTAATTGCCTTTTAAAGGATGGCTTCACTTACCCAGGATGACAAAAGATAAATAAGTTTATTGAAACCCAGTGCTTCTCATAACAAACTGTTCTAGAATTGAAGTTGAGAAAACTGTCAGAAAGTTTCTGAGGTTTCCTTAATTAATTCTAGTATTAAGTGCAGCCTTTTTTTGTATTAAAATGTTGAAAAATTGCGAATGTCACTGTGTCAAAGAATAAAAAAGATGGCATATTGATACTCTGTTGATGAAAATAATATGATGACTGCATTTTATTTCTTCCTGCAGCCCCGCAGCGAGCTGATCGGAAGGTTGTAGAGACAATTGACCAGTTAGTGAACAGCATCGTTGCAGGAACCTTGTCTGCCAAAGAGAGAAATGCTCAAAAGAACTGTCCTGAATATTGGTAGGTGTGTTTGAACAGTATGTTAGACTGCTACTCTCTGATGAAGATAGCTGGAATATATTTAATTAAATTTGGTATTTCATCCAATGTGTGTAAGGTCAAAGTCTATTGTATGTTTAATCAGACTTTTTGAAAATGTTTCCTGGGCTAATTATACTTCCTGCTATCCCTGGAAATTGTCCTGTTGCTTCCATTGGGTCTAGTAGATCACGTCCCTTTTGTTCTGTCAATAATGACTGGGTGCCAGTGCAAATACAAGATGTTAAAAGCAGTTCACGTTTACAAGATGAAAATAGTAACAAATGTAGTTACAGTCAACGTGCCGAATGGGAACAGGTTTATGGATCTAACGTTCCAGGAATGTTGGAAAAGGAAAGCTGAGATGCTTCCAAGTGGAATGATCTTTTCATGTGACGGTGTCGCTTCATGTGTGAACTGCAGCATCGCTGATTAATTACTAGCCAAATGATTTATGGCAAAACCCTCCATCCTTTATTTGCTTGGCGTGCTTTAGAGGTGGGGTTGGCTCTTGTTCTGAGAGAGGACTACGCAGGGTGATGTCAACGTAGCAACTTGTGTAAACCCTTGGAAAAAAGGGATCGATTGCCACTGAGTTACTGATCTGAGAATTCGAGTTGTTCTTTTCATCTTAAGCTTTCATTTATGTGATTTTTTTATTTAGGTTCTTGTCTGATGAAGATAGCCTGGAATACAAGTATTACAGACTGAAGTTGTCAGAGGTGCAAAGGCGGGCGTCAGCTGGAAAGGAAGCGGGGGGCGAGGGCAGGACGCTGGAAGAAGCCGCAACGGAGTCAGTCAGGGCCATGCTGTACGCCAGGAAAGTTGCAAGTATTAAGAGAAGGCTATTTAAAAGAAAAAGGCTTGGAGTTATCACCCAACATGGTATTCGAGGCAGGAGGGCGAGGAGGGCAACCACAGGGACACAGACTGTGCTCTCAGCCGGGACGGTGCTGAAGCACCAGGACAAACATCTTCAAGGTACAGATCAGTCAAAGCCTCCCGTAGCAGAAGCCAGCCCGGCTGAGAAGAATCCTGCCCTCGATGCCACCTCATCCTCACAGTGTGCCCCCACTTCAGAGGTCTCTCTGCCAGCAGAAGAAAGGGCAGATTCTGAGGATTTATTAGCACCCCCTGAACTTTTCCCACCATTGTCCTCCCAGTTTCCTGACGGTAAGTGACGATTCAAGAAGATTGTTCTGCTGGAAATTCTAAAAAATCAGTTATTTTGCTAAAGTAGATGATTCTCTGTGATATTAAGCTTCCAGAGATGCAGGTTTTGTCTGAAGCAAATTATTTTGCTAAAGTAGATGATTGTGATATTAACCTTCCAGAGATGCAGGTTTTGTCTGAAGCAATAGCTAACGAGCATCCTGTTTCTTGCAGTGGATGCTAAAACCATGGAAACCGCCGAGAAACTTGCCAAGTTTGTTGCTCAGGTAGGACCAGAAATTGAGCAGTTCAGCATAGACAACAGCGCGGATAACCCAGACCTCTGGTGAGTGACCTACACATTTAGCTGTGAAAATGGGCAAATAAGAAAAATCAAAATGTATCTAAACTAGTACTAAGGAGATACTTCATTTGGTTGTTTGTCGAGATGTGTGCTTTTGTTCAATGTGTTTAGGAATGGAGGATTTTGAGCAATGCTCCCCCTTGTCCTGCTCAGCACCTCCATTAATGGTGAATTCATGGAATTTGCTATTCATGGAATTTGCTATTCATGGAATGGTTTGGGTGGGAAGGGACCTTTAAAGACCATCTCGTCCAACCCCATGCCATGGGCAGGGACATCTTCAGCTCCATCAGGTTGCTCAGAGTTTAGGAACGGAGGATTTTGAGCAATGCTCCCCCTTGTCCTGCTCAGCACCTCCATTAATGGTGAATTCATGGAATTTGCTATTCATGGAATTTGCTATTCATGGAATGGTTTGGGTGGGAAGGGACCTTTAAAGACCATCTCGGCCAACCCCATGCCATGGGCAGGGACATCTTCAGCTCCATCAGGTTGCTCAGATCCCCATCCAGCCTGGCCTGGAATGTTTCCTGGGATGGGGCATCCACCACCTCTTTGGCAATCCCATCCAGCCTGGCCTGGAATGATCCAGGATCCACCACCTCTTTGGCAAACCTGAGCCAGTGTCTCACCGCCCTCATTGTAAAAAAAATTCGTCCTTATATCTGGTCTAAATCTCCCCTCTTTTAGTTTAAAACCATTACCCCTTGTCCTATTGCAACAGGCCCTGCTAAAAAGTTTGTGCCCAAAAGGCATCTGGCTGTGACTGAAGTTTGCCCAGGAAAGGAGGGGTCCCAACCCGCCATCGTACAGAGTGGTCGCTGTTCTTAGGACACGTGGTCAGGGAATCCTACAAAAATACACCTGCAATGACCATTCAAATATGAATAAGAGCTCTATTTCTAATGTCTTGCTTCATGCCACTAAAGAAAAATCTCTTTCTGATACAATTTTCGCTGTCGTTTTTGCTCAGGTTTCTACAGGATCGAAACAGTTCTGCTTTCAAATTTTACCGAATGAAAGTCTATGAGTTATGTCCGTCGATTAACTTCAGCGCTGTGTCAGAAGCCACTGATGCTGGGGAAGGTGCTAAACCTGAAGAAAGGAATTTGGATATTTCAGAAGAGGAGGAGGAGGAGGAAGAAGAAGAGGAAGAAGATAATGAGGAGGAAGCTGAGTTTGAGGAGGACATCTCCCAGCCTTTGGAAGAGATGGAAATGGAGCAAGCAGAGGAGGGAGAAGAGGATGACATCTCAGCAGGTAGAAGTGTGGAAAACCTAGCTGAAGAGATGATTTCCAAAACGGGAGAGGAAATTGCAGGAGGTGAAATGCAGCTAGCCACATCATCTGATGGTGCTGTACCAAATCTGTCGACACAGGCATCGGCTCCTGCTCCTGGTACCCTATTTCCTCGCAAACGCATCAGCAGCAAGTCTCTGAAAGTTGGTATGATCCCCGCCTCTAAAAGGATCTGCCTCATAGAAGAACCAAAAGGTGAGTGTTACTTAAAAGCTATTTTGTAGGTATCGCTACAGAACTCCTGATTTTTTTTTTATGTACCTTCTTACTGCCTAATATTGGCTAAAAGAATTACATTTCTTTAACACAAAAATGAATGCAATGTTCACTTTAAAGATCCATTCAACTGACAAAGGGGAATCTGAATATATTGTGTGACAGGTTTTGTGTGACAGCACAATAGCAGTTTGCGTCAAACATCATTCCTTAAATACTCTCTACGTCTATGTGGATGCTAACCTCTCTCTGCTGCTTAAAAAACTCACCAGAGTAGTTTTTGCAGGGTTTGTTTTATCGGTTTATGGAAGGTTTAACAGACTTAAATCTTGCACTGAATGTATTTTGAGTGTTTGACTAAATATATTTAGACTTTGGATTGACCTGTCAAATTTTGTCAATATGGCAACAGCGGGGGTGAGTCATGATATTCTAAGAACTGAGAGATTAATAGCTTAAAACTGATTATATGTGCTCTGCAGCTACTTTAACGAATGTCTTTGCTTTGCATAATGATTTTTATTGGTGAAGGTTGTCATTTGTGTTATGTAAATTATATACAATAACCTCATTTAAGTCCAGTCTGAATTTTCTATCCAAGTATTACAGAAGCTCAGGGAAATGAAAGATCTAACATCCTTAGAATATATAGTTCATTAGTGTATTGCTGGCACAACGTGTCCAAAACTAAATGCATGCAAGTTCTAATTAACTGTTTTTTGTTGTGGAGTGGGGAAAAAATGTCTTACTGTTTCATTTGTTTTCTTATTTTTTATTCTGATCGTTCTTGTTGATTCTGATTTTAGGCCAAGGCATGGAGTTAGAGTCCAGCTTGAGACGTACTTTTGGAGTTCTGTATTAAAATTGCTTTTCTTTACAGCTGAATTTTGTCTTTGATTTGACTTGCAGTGCATGAACCTGTCCGAATTGCTTATGACAGGCCTCGTGGCTGCCCAGTTACAAAGAAGAAGAAGGTAAAGAATTCTTCTGCTTTGTCATTGAACCAGCTGTCTTTGTGAGAGACAGCTTCTGGAAATGTGTCGTTGTCATAAAATCAGATTAAAACCTGAAAAGCTTGATCCTGAAAAAAGACTGGACTAAACCTGAGGAGATCTGTGGCTCCTGTTGTCTTTTATCTACCTGTGTCAAAATTGAACATTTTATGATTAGAGCACTACTGAACAGCTGTGTGTTGATTTTGTCTTCTGTTTTTTTTTTAAAAATAAACAAATCAGTGCATTGCTCTCTGGAAAGTATTTCCGAAGCTGGTGAGATGTTATTTGACCACTTCTGTGTTTGTAACAGGTCATCAGATCATTCAATATTTATTAGAAAAACATAACTAGCTCTTAAAATAGCAAAAAGTGCACCTTCGTATTTTAATAATGTAATTAAACAATTTGACAACCTGAAATAAATCTGTTAATTTTTTTTTTAAACTGGCAAGGCAGATATTTGCTCTTCGATAGACTTTCTCTGTGTAGGTGGAGAAGTGCTGCTTAGAAGATATTTCTGTATATCGAGAAATTCAAATACACTTAGTTTATAGGGGGTTTTTTGAGGGATTTTTAATACATGATGTCCTTGTAAAACAAAACAACAAACTTTTTTTTTTTTCCTGTTTTTTTCCTCTCCACAGAAACCAAAAGATTTAGAGTTTTCACACAAGAAGCTGACAAACAGGAACGTGGGCTTCCAGATGCTGCAGAAGATGGGCTGGCAGGAAGGACACGGCCTTGGGACACGAGGAAAAGGAATCAGAGAGCCTGTAAAAGTGTATGTAATGGGAACACACTACAGGAATTTGAGAGCTCTGGAAACTAATAGTAATTATATTTATCTTACCCACCTTGATGTGGCCAGTTCAGTGATTTTTTTTTTTTTCCATTTTGATGTTGGCCTCTGGCTTCTCACCATCCAGTTTGACACCACTGAAGGCTGCAGCATGAATGCAGCAGTGTGCAGGCACTTTTTAAAGATATATGGTTGCCCCTGTTCTTCAGGAGGTGGTTTTTGGATGGTTGGTGTATTTATTTATTTTTTAAAATACATAGTATTACCCTGGGGGTCTCCTGGCTGCCACACCACGTACATCATACATAAATAGACTTCAGGAATGTCATACACAGTGTTCCTGGGTTTAGGCAACAAATTTATTTGCACTCTAATTACCTGATTCATTCCACTGCGCAAGGAAAGAGGTAAGTGCAGCTGCCAGAAGGTAAGTGTGCTTTTTCCTTTACAATACACTTGTGGTTTTGAATCTTCATTTTGTCTTTTGACATTGCTGTGTCCAGTGTCCACTGCTGCCAGCACGGAGGATGGATAATACCTCCGTCAACTCCCCGGCTGAATAAGGAGGCAGAAACTATTTATTTCTCTCTGAACCCATATGACAAGCTCTCTGAGTCCACTCCTAGTCTGTGGTTGTCTTCTTTCTCCAGGGATTTCCATTTTCTCTTCATGCCTTGGACAGGGTCGTTGTAGTTGGTGGGATAGTTTTGGTGAGATGCTTCTGGTTGTTTGCTTTCTTTTTCCCTTAGTTCTCCCTGTGGTCCAGTGACCATCACTCTGGTTTCTGCATTTCCTTCAGCAGCAGCAAACAGACAGTGAGCAAGCAGCTTATTCACCTCTAGCTCCCTTGTGTTCACCACTGTTACAACCTTGATTCTTAACCCCAAAACTTGTTGGGACCAAAAATACGAGTAATTTTTTTTTGTTTCCGTATCTCCTGGCACAAGTTTTGCTGCACAGCTGATCAGGAGCTGTTTATTTGTAGCTGGTCTGACAGTTAGCCCACCACAGTCAGAAAGTTTCTGGCCATCTTTAAGAACTGCATTTTAATATTGGAAAATACAGTTTTTCCAGCTAGAGTCCATTACAGTGTCACTGGTAAAGGCATTTGCAAAGAGCAGTGAAGAACTGCTTTCTGTACCTCTTAGAAAAACTGGTTGACTTTTTCTGTAACAAAGAGAGAACTCCATAGTATTGATGATTTTCATGGTGTGCACCTCTCTATCCTTTCCCATCAAAGTCATCCTTTGGACAATGCTTTGGGACAATCTTAGTGAGGATCAAACTGGAGCAATTTAACATTTTGCTTTCTCTTGTCAGTTGCTTTGATACAGTGCAGGGTCCAACCTCCTTCTCTGAGCAAAAAGGGATGGATTACTAATTGTAGACACTCCAATTCTAGTGTAGAGCTTATCTTGATCAATATATATTTTGTGTCTGTGCTGTGTGTCCTACAAGACTGCAGCTTGCTTTGGCTGCTAGAAATTTGAAGGAAGCAGCATTATGTTCCCCTGGTCAAAAATTTCATCTTTTATCCAGAATTATGGGGCGTTTCCTACTCATTCCTGAAAGGGTCTGACTTCTGTCATTTTTGAAACGTAAGAAACGAAGGCAGTTTTTGCCATCTTTTCAACAAAGCATCCAATCTACCAGGAATAAAGCGGTTAATACAAGAGTTCACATAAGAATTTGATCTGTTAGATGATTGTATCTTCACTGCTCCTGTAATATCATGGGAGCTTTTCCTTCTGGTGGGATTTTGCATGTGTAAAAGGAGGTGGGAACTGTTTTCTAGCTGATCAGGTGTCTCAGGTACCGAGGCTCCGCTCCCCTTCTCCCTCTAGTGAAGCAAAATTACTCTCTGCTTGTGTTGTGTCTATGTCGGAAGCTGTTGTTTAGATCTCTTCTGCACGTTGTGGAATGTAACCCAAACAGAGTGTTCTAACTCTTCATTTTACTCCCTAGGGGTGCTACCTCTGCAGGGGAGGGCTTGGGTGTTGCAGGGGAAGAAAATAAAGAAGATGCATTTGATGTTTTCCGTCAAAGAATGATACAAATGTACAGGCAGAAAAGAGCAAGTAAATAGGTATGTGCAATGGACACGTCTGCTTTATGAATTCCTGCAAACATTAAAATATCAGGGTGGTTTTTTTGGTTTTTTTTTAAGTCTTCCTTTTCCAAGAAAATATTAACTGTTTCCATGAGTGTATCTGGCTCCTTAGCATTTCGCGAAAATCCAGAGCTACGTTGAACTGCTTTGAACTGCTGAATTACCCCAAATCTTACTTTCTAGGTTTGAATTAAGAGACTCGCTCGCTAGAAAGTGCACGGATATGCAAAGGCTGCTGTGAGACAGATCCTCGGCAGAGGATGCCAGTGTGAAGAACGCTTTGTTCTATAGTAGTGGACTTGAATACTAATGTATTAAACCATTTTTCCAAGATTAAAGTTAGTCTTGTATTCAGTGGTGCAAGCTAACAACTTGGATGTCATCTTCTGAGGAAGAAACAACTGATTTTGTTCTCGGAAGTGCCTGTTTACCTCTCTCTTTGGCCAAGTTTGCCTGTTTTGTGATGCGATGGCTTCCCGAAAAACCAAATAAGCAACATGGAAAAGAAATAATGCCTGGCCTGGTTTGGCTCTGATCCTCTTGCAAGCCAAGAATCTTCTCAATTTCCCATCTTCTTGCAAGGAAATTCAGATTTTATTTTACTACGTTTTATTGACGGGCTTAAATCTGCTTCTGGAGTCTGCATAAAGCAGTTTCCTCCACACACCAATTTTAAGAAGAGTCCACCCGTGTGTTTATTTTGTGTAGGATTCTAGACTTTAGGTGTCGGATGAATAACTGAGTTCATCCCAGTCTGAGAACACTAAACTCTTCCTTGAAGAGCTCAGCTGCGAAGGTTTTTCATTGTAATGAACAAGCAGTACGTATTTTCAGTGTCCTTTTTGGTTTTACACAAATTTGCAGCTCTTCCGCAACAAATTCTTGAATCATTTCTTTCCTTCTCAAAGAAATTTGTCATGAGCAGGCGCAATTCATGTGTCTGCAGAAAATGCTGAAGAAGATACCGGGAAGTCAGATATTTCAAAGTCATCTGGGAGTGGATCATCAGTGTTATAAGAGTTTAGAGTGTCATTTCTTTTTTCTATTAAATATTTGCTTTGCAGAAGTTCTTTTATTGAAAAGTCCTAAGAAATAAGACAAAAAGCTTGTACTTTTAAGGGACTATTCCGGAACTTACTGAAGGAAAAGACTGGATTAAGCTCCTGTTCTTCAACAAAAAGCATTTCCCTACCTGCTCAGTGAAGCAGTTCTGAAGACATGAAAGATTTAGGAGCGTTACCACAAATAAAAACATTCTTATCATTCATCTTTTTTTTTTCCAACTTAAGGGATCTGTGACTGAGTTACTGACAGCGACACCGTTTAATAATCGCGCTTTTCGGTGTGCTCGTTCTCCATCGTTACCTTTCAAAAACTAGTCAAAAGTCTTCACTTGAACGTTGCGGCACCAAAACCTCCTTGGCTGATGTTCTCTTGAACGAGTTTTATCTTGAGCTGACGCATGGTTTGCTTTGCTGGGAGCGAGCTCTGTCTTGCTGGTGTTCTCATCCTGCTTCTTGTAGAGCAAAGAGCTTGTGGTACCCCACTAATAGTGGTACCCCACTAATAGCACCCCCCACTAACGGGGCAGCACCTCCAGGGTGACAAATATGGAAGGAAATGTGTTCCTTGGTTATCAACTTGCCTGTGCCTGCTGTTTAACGAGCAAAATTGAGATTCTTTCTCCATTAAAAATCCTACTGGTTGAAAGGGAGTGGCTTCCTTTGAATTCTGGAGCAACAAAGTTCTCCTGGCTTGTAACAACCAGTCTGAGTTTGTTTTGGTTTTTTTTTTTTTTTTTTTTCATTTGAATTCTGGAGCAACAAAGTTTTCCTGGCTTGTAAAAACCAGTCTGAGTTTGTTGTTTTTTTTTCTTTTCTGTACAGGTCTTTGAAACCACAATCACGTTGCAGTGTAATTTTCTGATCACTCACTTTTAGTTGCCTTGAAGCACATGATCACTTAAAAAAACCCACGCTGGCAGGGACAGAATCACGTGCCTGTAGTTCTGTTTTTCCACAAACATCACACGTGTCTTCACCTTCATGTTAGAAGTTGAAGCCTGAAGGCTATAAATACAAAGAAGTTTATCTGGTTGTCAGACTTGATTAAGGACACTTGATAGCCCAGACGTTTCTCGTAGGATTTACTTGGAGATATTTAAAATCCTTAAACGTTTTGGGGCACTGGTGACTTGGAAGATCATCAGTTACAGTATTTGCAGTGGATGCTCAACCTGTTATCTTCCCCTTTGGGTGTGTTCTTCACCACCTCTCTTTCTTTCCTGGGCCTAATTAGCACTTGACACAGTCTAAAACTCCAGCCTTTGGTAAAGGAGATCTCTCAGTCACGGGCTGGTTTAGAATGATGCTCTGGAACCAATATTGTTGGCCTCTGATTTATTTCTCAGACTCACTCTAAAGGATTTGGCTTTTCTTTTGGTGTCATTGACGAAGCTGCCGGCGTTGCTGGTCACAGTTTTTATTTCCCCTCAAAACTTCCAGTTCACTTCTTCTTTCCCATTGACGTTTTCTGGAAGGATTCTTGATTCTACATCACGCTATTTCAAGGCAGAAGGCGAGGTGGGGCTTTCTACTGGGTTGAGCTCCTCTCTCAGACCCAGCTCAGCATCTGATCTGCTCTGAATTTCCTAAACACCCACTTCCCCAGTCTGGGAGAGCCGTTGGGATCCAGACTGGAAACCCCACACCATCCTTTCTGACCCTGAGCCCATTGGGAATATAAATGCTGCCTTGAGAATAAAGGTGAAGGTTGGGAGACTCTCAGATCTGCTGCCCTGGGTGGCTGGCGTGTGGCCTGTCCTTCTTGTGCCAAACTTTGATGTTGGAGGAGATCTTGGCAGAGCGGGGCTGGTGCTGAGATTCCAGCGGTGCTCGCACGTGGGTTACCCTTTGCCGCCTTTATCTTGTTTTACCAAGATTTGACCTTAGGCTCCTTTGGCAAAAGGAATTCCCTTTTTATTTTTATTTTTTATATATATATATATATTTTTTTTTTTTTTTGACCTGCTTTTGCAGGCAGCTCTGAGTTGAAAATATGAAATACTTGTACATGTGAAACGTTTGTTGTGCGGATACGTTGCCGTGTTTAAAGTTTACTAGCTTCTTTTCTGTTATTTTAGTTCCAGGCTCTCTTCCATGAAGACTGCAAGCTTCAGTGAACATTTTAACTAACTTCAGTGGTGTGTCTACTGTCTTTTGGTTGGTTTATTTTTTATTTTTTTTTTATTTTTTTCTTTTGGCCATTAATCTTGTAGAGCAATTTGGTAGTTTCTGTTCCGTGCACATGGGCCGTAGCGCTGAGCTGGTAACGATTAGACGCTTATGTTATTGGATAATAACTGACATTTCTTTTTAGTGTAAGTAAACATGTTAGCATTGTTAATCTTTTAATATCCGCAATAAATGTAGAACTAAACGATTTCTGGTTTAAATGTTTTGCTTGTGAATTTGGCCATTTGTAAGAGATATGCATCGTTTTGGCACTAACGAGTGGAATTTGAGATTATGCAGTGTTCTTTGAGTGCAAAGCAGGATTTCATAGTGTACCAGGGGAGGAAGGTCCCTCTCTGTTTCTGTGCTGCTAAATGTCTCTGGTGAGAATACCCACCAAATCATTTCTTAAGTTATTTTCTCCCGTGGCTTTTGGTGCATTAAATCCCTACCCACCAGTGTTACTTTCCCCCCCAACACCAACCCCCCCCCCACGGGAAGGCGGGAGTTTTACCCCTTATTCCCCGGGAATTACTTCTGTCTCCCTGATTTTCTCAGTGGACTGACCTGAAATCAGCAAATCTTTTTCTTTCCGTATGCGTGTGGTTTACTGTTGCCTTTAAATTCAAATTCCCTTTTTTTAGACATTATGTGAGGGGGAGGGAATTGCAACACACTGACATGGAGCACTCCTGCAGCCACCCTCCACAGAGGGGTGAAGCCAGGGTGTTCCTTGGCGAGAGATTCCAGCTGGGTCTCCTCTCCCTCACTGTCACCCTGCCGGGGAAAAGCTTTTCAGAGGCAAGTCCAAGCCCCGGCTACACCTTTTTTTTCTTTTTTCCCCCTCCTTTTCCTTCAAAAATTGATGATCTGTAAGGACCTGGTTGTAGAAGACAGGACATTTGCTCTCGTTGGAGAGAAATGAGGAGATCCCCGTTTTGGGGGAGGTGCCCTGACAGAGTAGAACTACAGTCGGTAAAACACTCTCTGGAGTAACTGTGTTGGACTCATAAAGATGTTTTATTATTTTTCCCCGCTCCTTTTCCTTCAAAAATTGATGATCTGTAAGGACCTGGTTGTAGAAGACAGGACATTTGCTCTCGTTGGAGAGAAATGAGGAGATCCCCGTTTTGGGGGAGGTGCCCTGACAGAGTAGAACTACAGTCGGTAAAACACTCTCTGGAGTAACTGTGTTGGACTCATAAAGATGTTTTAATTATTTTTTTTGGCCTTCAAAGCTTTTCTTTAACACCAATGACTTTTTCCTATTTATTTGGGGTTTTTTTTTTGGTAGAAGACACTACAGCCTCATTAGTGTGAACGCTTCATCTGTGCCGAGACGTTCCTTCTCCAAACCAATGTACAGTATTTTTTTTTTTCTATTGATATTCCGTTCTGCTTTAAAAAAGTTACTCCTGGTGTATTGTGCCCAAAGAAAGTCTGGACTCAGAAATTCAAACAGTGTTCCTTTGGATTGATTTCTATCCTACAGGCAGGTATCTTTTCTAATTAAAAAGGGATTCCTGAAAGCCCTGTATCATCTTTTAATTCTGCATATCTCGTGACTGAGTGGCCAATCACAACCAGACTGTAGATTTGAGCAATAATAAACCACCTTAAATGAGAACATGCTCAAAGAACAATAGGGGTACTTCGGAAAATGATAAGTTTTTGTGAACCTTGTTAAGTAGGTAACTTGCTGAATTGCAGCGAGTGTGGAAAATGTTTGCATTATCTGTGGGCAATAAAGTTACTGCTGTTTAAGAAAGCACAAGCAGCCGGTGTGTTCTCTTCAGCTTTTTGTGCCCGATTGGTGTCGTTAGAAGGCGGTGCTAATTTCCTGGAAAATTATTTCCTGGGCAAGACTTTGCTTTGAAGGGGAAGGGGTGTTTTGTTTCCCTGCCGCTGGGTAATGAAGCAAATAAAATCTGACTTTTGAAATCTTAAATTCTGCCTCCTTGGCAGAAATCCACTGTATTCGTGGAGATAACGGCAGCTCCATCTCTGAGCAGTTCACCAGACCTGCTTCAGAGAGAGGAACCGCTGCTGGGCGGGAAGGAAGGATTTTGGAACACCAATCTAAAAAAGGAGGGATGGTTTAGGGGTCCCAGACGTGGGGAGGTGTCCGTTCTGGGGGTGATCACTGCCATCCCGGTGGGAGGAAGATTAAGCGGATGCAGATGAGTTCTCGTTCACCTCATCGATGTGCCCTCCCCTCCCTTCCCTTGCAAGCCCCAAGGTGAACACCACCGGTGTTCGGGGTGTCCTTGGACACGCAGAAAAGCGGGTCTTACCGCGGGTGCCGGTCCCACACCGTGAACCGGAGAAGCCAAACCTCCGGGCCGGGATTTACCGGGAACCGAGGAGAAGGGTTTTCCAGTAGCTCCCCCGCGCGGGGGGGGGGATCTCGGTACCTCCTACATCTCTCCCGCCGGTCCCCGTCCTCCTTCCCCGCGATTCCCCCCCGGTAGAGGAGGGGGGGTGACGGCGGGGGCTGCGCCCTCGGTCCCGGGGCCGCCCCGCTCCGCCGCCATCGAGAGCCGCCTGCCCCGGCGGGCGGTGCCACGTGGCCGGCGGTGTCACGTGACCCGGCGGCGTCACGTGGGCACGGCGCGAGGCACCAACGGTCGCTCCTGAGGCAGGCGGGAGGCGGCGCCATTTTGGGGGTGAGTGGGCTGAGGGGAGAGGGGTCGTTGATCCAGCTTCGGGGGCAGAGGGGTGTCCCCAGAGGGGTGGCGGGGCTCCGTGGAGGGGTGGAGGGTTGGGGTGTAGCCTGGGGAGTAGCCTGGGGAGTGTGGGGCCGTGAGTGGCCGTGCGCCTTCTGTCCCTTCAGGCCTGGGGGCCGCACCATGGTGGCAGCTCAGAGGTTCCCGTCAGGGAACGGGCTAAAGCCAAACGTGCTGTGGGAATCCAGGGTCAGGATTAAGGTTTGGCCACCGAAACGATGGGACAGGAGAGCTGCAAATTCCTGGTGTCTGTTTTTTTGCCAGGACCAGGTGTCCCAGCTGCTGCGAACAAAGCTGGTCACAGGAAAGTGTAAAATAAGAGTCTGGGGAAAAGTGTTCTCAGATGCCATGGTCACGTCCTAGGAGATGTGTCCTGTCGGCCAAGGAAACGCCTTGGCACATGGGCACCTCCTGGCTCTGCAGATTCACGCCCTGGGTTACAATACAAGGACTAACAAAAGTTATTTAATAGTTTTCTGAAGCAACCAACCCGATTCATTAATCTAAAAGTAGTCTGCCCCAAGCAATGTTTTACTTGGCATATGCTAATGCAAATGGATTCCTCAGCTGTTGGCGTTTACCTGCAGATGAAAGTGCAGAAAGAGCAGAGATTCCCTTCGTTCTGAAAGCGGATTTGGAATGTTGTGGTTTCTGTAATTGCAGAGGACAAACACCCACCTTGCATTTTGTTCAGTTTTCTAGCACTGGCTGGAGGGCATGTTCATTTCGATGCACTGCCAAAATTCCAGACATAAGAGTACCTGATTCTAATTAACTTAATAAAATATAAATTCCTTTTTCATAACATAACGTTGCTTTGCTACATATATATATTGTTTTTCTATAATATATATAAACAGATGAATTACTGTAAACAAAGCAGTTTTAGCTATGATTTTTCTTAAATACCTGACTTCTGCAAAATGTTTCTGCTTGTTCTTACTGTTTGTGAAATAATACTTAGATTCCCTGTGAGAAACTGCAAAAACTACAGCCTGCAAATGAGAATCACAGACTCGGCCCAAAGCTTGTTTTTCTGGTAATGGCTTGAAATTGCCATCAGAGTAGTGGCTATTTCCGATTAGTATAAATGTAGGTAATAGCTACAAAACCTCGTCAAAGGGCATGGCTGGCCATCTCATAAAAATAAAGGTAACCAAATATTGCAGTGAACTTAAACTGCTTTTAATTCCAGGACGTCTGGAAGTAGTTATCTGAGCAGAAAATGTAAGAGGTTTTGACAAGTTTCAGAAAATATTTGAAGACTACAGATACTTGCTTTGGAGGGCTTCCACTGGACGTTTTCAAGAACCATGAAGAAGTTGCTGCCTGTAATTATTTAATGACAAGGAATAAAAACCGGGAAGATGTCATTTCCAGTGCAATCTCTGAAAATGGGTAGCACTGCTGCTGTTGTCCTTTGTCTTGTTTTGCAATTAATTCAAGAGACGAAAGCGTCCGTTGCGAACTGCGTTCCCAGAAAAACAGTAAAATACCAAAGTAAGTGAAAAATTGTAATAAGAACCGGAGCCCGGTGTTGGGAGTTTATTTTTTTATTAGTCATAGAAAGACCGTTACGGCCGGTTTCACCTCAGGTGCTGCGGATGCGCTCATCCGGATGACAGAAATGCCTGAACAATAATTGAAGCTGGAGGTTCTGGCTTAAGGGGAATAATAATAGTGGTGTTTATTTTCCTGTAATCAGCCAGGAAAAGAATATCCATGCATTTATTCAAATGCTTTCACATTATTTAGAAAATGAGCTGGAAATCCGTATAAGCTTTTACTTTTGTTCTGTTATAATTCCTTTTCAGTCTGGAATTTTTCTTATGTAACACTGTGATTCTAGTGATAAATATTTTAAAAATAACGTATCTTCTGTGTTTTACAGCTGGAAATAGAAGCACTTTTATGAAGGAAGGATTATCCAATGTTTCCACTCTTCTTGTGGATGAAGAAATGGATATGTTATTTGTTGGGGGCAGAGATGCAGTATTTGCTCTTGACTTGAATAATATTTCTAGAGAAATAGCCAGGGTAAATTGAAGACTTTTTTTTTATTATTTTCCTTATACTTCCTTTAAATAAATATTTTGCCTGTGGTTTTCTTAATTTGAACCTAATGCTCTGATTTTAAATATATAAAAGTATTACTGTGTCAAGGCTTGAATCTTTCTTACAGAATCTTTTAAGCAAAGCAGTCCCTCTCCAGGTTATTTATTATGTCTTGCATATTGTGGAGATACATAGAAAAATGCTTATTTACCCAAGTTAGGATTATTTAGGGATTTATTTTTTTTTACATATAATTTTGTGGAAAACCATTGGAATGTAACAGCTTACAGGTATTTTTGGCTTTTAGGAACATTGGTTTGCTCCACAGGAGAGACAACTGGAATGTGTTCATAGAGGGAAGGACAAGGTAGGAACTTCTGTTTCCCCCTTTAAGGTATTAACTGAAGTGAAAATGGCTCCAGTGTCATGCTGCTTTTTAATAAATGAAATAAAAGCAAGTTCATTTAAATCTGTTGGTGTTTTGTCAGATACAATCTGCTACACTATGATTTTTTTTTTTATTTTCAATTTTAGATAAAATGCCAGAACTACATCCTCTTCCTCCATAAGATAAATAACTCTAATTTATATGTTTGTGGAACCAACGCGTATCACCCAACTTGTGATCACATGGTAATTACGTGTGAATAGAGGTTTTACTGAAGATACTGGGGTAGGATGGCAGATCCTTAAACACCTTTCTCACAAGATTCCTGTTGAAAATTAGAAACTTTCTTCTTTTTTAAAAATGTGAAGGAGCAGAAAAGGACTTAGCGAATGTAGGTTTTTTTCATTATTACTATTAATGATCATTTACTACAGGTTATTCAAGGAACAACCATGAGCCTGCAAGGAAGAGCTGAAGAGAGCAGAGGGAAGTGTCCGTTTGAACCAACTCTAAACTACGCCTCTGTTTTTGTGGGTATGTTTGGACTGACATGGGGCATGAAATGTGAATGTCGTTTTTTTTTCAATATTACTATTAATGATCATTTACTATAGGTTATTCAAGGAACAACCATGAGCCTGCAAGGAAGAGCTGAAGAGAGCAGAGGGAAGTGTCCGTTTGAACCAACTCTAAACTACGCCTCTGTTTTTGTGGGTACGTTTGGGCTGACACGGGGCATGATACTGGATACTGTTATCCTAATTCCATTTTTGTATGGAAACCCCAGTTTGTGATATGTCTTTGCATTTTAAAAATAAGTACTGTATTGTTTGGACTGACATGGGGCATGAAATGGTTTTCATCACCTAAACTAAGTCACTGGATACTGTTATCCCAATTCCATTTTTGTATGGAAACCCCAATTTGTTCTTTGTGATGTGTCTTTGCATTTTAAAAATAAGTACTGTATACCTCTTTGTTTCTTCCACATCTTCACAGACGGGGAATTTTATTCGGCTACTTCCAATAATTTCTTGGGAACAGAACCGATAATACTTCGCAGTATGAGAAATCCTGTAAGAACAGAGTTCAAAACATCGTGGCTGAATGGTAACAAGTTTTTTTTCTATATTTCAGTCTCTTGAACTTGAATTTGGTGTGTGACTTCTCTCTAGAAGGCAGTGGTGTGTTATGTATTGATTTTGTAGTGTGAGCTTTTGAATTTAAAATAAATTTGTGACTATGAATTACAGTGATGAGATGAGCCACAGCCCGGTCCATTGGTGGTGTGTTATGTATTGATTTTGTAGCGTGAGCTTTTGAACCAAGGACAGAATTTAAAAGAAATTTGTGACTATGAATTAGAGTGATGAGATGAGCCACAGCCCGGTCCATTTATGAAAGCACAGCTCCTTCTCTTAATCTTTGATAGATTCATTAATACGTTTCAGTCCTTGTCCAAAAAACCAGTTCAATTAGACTTAATTTTTAAATAATATCTGGCACGTATATTTTTCTTGGAATTAACTTCAGATGTTTTGCTTATTTCTGTGTTTCAGAACCAAGCTTTGTCAGCATGGAAATGGTGCGGGAAAGTGAATCTAATCCAAATGGAGATGATGATAAAATTTATGTGTTCTTCACTGAAACAGCTGTTGAATTTGATTTCTATGACAAGGTTCTGGTGTCCAGAATTGCCCGGATCTGCAGAGTTAGTGTTTGTAGTATAAAGATCTCATTTAGTGTATTTCAGATGAGGTTTCATAGCTGAGGGATTAAGGACGGTATATAACCTGGCTAACCAAACAAAAGTTTGTCATGTACATTTTATTTGTGAACTAACATCCTCTTTTTCCTGCTGGAACAGATCCAGCTGTTCAGGTTGTCTACCCCGGCTAATCAAACAAAACTTTCATGTACATTTTATTTCTGAACTAGGGTCCTCTTTTTGCTGCTGGAACAGATCCAGCTGTTCAGGTTGACATTTAAACCTTTTTCCTTTGCCTTTGGAGTGAGATTGGTGTTGAAAAGCCAACTATATTTTTCCCCGCAGTGACACTATTGGGTGAAAATGAGTCTATTTCTTTTCCACATTCTACAATGTCGATGTTATTCCTTCCTTCCTTCCTTTAGGGTGATCTGGGTGGGAAACGTGTATTGCAGAGAAGATGGACATCGTTTTTAAAAGCCCGACTTTCCTGTTCCATCCCGGAATTAAACTTCCAATTTGATATCGTCCAGAATGTCTTTTTACTTCGGAGAGGAAAGTGGCAGGACAGCATATTTTATGGAATTTTTTCCCAACAATGGTGAGACAGAGGCTACTAAAGTTTGTCATGAACAGAGTAAGGGTTCTCAGTTCAGCCTTTTGGCTTTAACTCGGACCCAGCTCCTTACGCTGCGTGTTTTAATGCACCACATTTGTTTTTCTTACAGCTTGATCCCACTGAGCAAACATTTATCAGCTGAAACAAAACGATTTTGGTTCCCAGGCCAAAGCCTTCAATTAAAGACCAACCAAAAGCTGCTCCTAAGCCAAGTTTTTAGAGGGATGTTTTCTCTAGTCGGATGGTGGGGCAATTAAAACTAATTACATACAAAATCACATAATTAAGTACACAAAGCCCTGGATTCTCCTGGTCTTTATAGCACTAGAGGAAATAGCTGACATTTCAAGGTGCAGAATTAGTCTTCTGTTCTAAAAGAAGTATCTGCCATGGCCTGCTTTTCTAATGTTCTGTGCAAATGAAAACAACTCCAAACAAAAACCTTTCCAGTTTTAGGGTTAATGCTCTGACTCATGAAGAAAAAAAAGACAAAGTGTATTGAAACTTCACATGTCCAAAAAGACCGATGACAAAGTAGCCGTGAGCACGTATTTCTCATGTTTTATAAAAACAGCAGAGTTAGTGGAACACAGCCCAGTCAGCACTGTCCAGCTCAACCTGCTGCCACCCCTTTACCTGTCACTGGAGCTTGTTTGAGTTTTATTCCTGGTTATGGCAGTTTGGGTTCAGTGTCTCCTCAGCCAGGAATTTATTGAACATTTCTTTCTTTGGGTGTGGCAAAGAGCCTGAGACTTCACTGGTAGAACTGAAATCCCATCAGTGTCTGATCCAGACACTCCTAAAAGTCTACCTCTCAGTCGTCATCTTGAAAAGCATGATAATTGGAGGCAAAGAGGGAACAGCATTGTGTTTTTCCAGAAAGGTAAGTTAAAAGGATTAGAGGAAGAATTAATGGGCTGTGTCAGAAGTGTGGAGCCAAAGGGAGGAGAATCCTGTCAAAACGTTGATTAATGTCATACTTGGACTCATCTCTCTGTTTACAAGAAAGGTTGTCAAAAGGTCCTCATTCTCTAAGTGGGTTCAATTTATTTGAGGGCGGTTACTTGATTTTTTTAACAAAAACATTTTGAATGCCATCTTTTATGAATGTCTTTGTTTTATTCTTTTCTTAGTGAATCATGAAAACTGAAATATTTTTAGTGTTGACTAATCCTGAAAAAGATACAGCGGTGTTCTCTGTGTAGATGGGGTTAGTTCATAGTATTTCTGTATAAAAGCCAAAAAAACCTTGCTTTTATTTTATGTGGTGTTTTGTTTTTTCTTCTAAGGGGAAGAGTGGACGTATCAGCTGTTTGTGCATACAGTATGACAGATATTCAGGAAGTCTTCTCCAAAGGAAACTACAAAGGAGCAGTCACTGTAGAACAGTCCCACGTTAAATGGATGGCCTACAGGGGAGAAGTGCCAGTTCCACGTCCTGGTGCTGTAAATATGAATTTACTTGTTCTAATTAAAGAACAGCCTCTGGATTATCTTTTTAGTAGCAAATCCTTAGCTCATGTTTTATTGATATAAATGCAGTGTTTCTGATCAGCAAGCATACTGCTTTTTCACACCAAGGATCCTAGAAAAGCTGCCTTGCTTACAGTTCTGCCTCACAAGGATTGTGGGATTGTTAGCTAGTTTGTAGTGAAAAGAAAATGATTATTTTTATCTTTTGAAGATAAGTAGAATTAACTGAATATTTAGAAGGAAATACACCTTTTTTATATACCTTGGTGAAATGGAAAAAGCAATTGTAATCCTGTTCATTATGTTTTGTTTCTAGTGCATTGATAATTTTGCCCGGAGCATGGGGTATAATACTTCTTCTGACTTGCCTGACAAAGTGTTGCAGTTTGTTAGAGATCACCCTCTAATGGATAATTCTGTAAATCCAATCGGGGATAGAGCGGTGCTGCTGAAGAGAGGTTCAAACTACACCAGGATCGTAGTAGACAGAGTGACTGGCCTAGATAAACAAACATACCATGTTATGTTTCTAGGAACAGGTAAGGGCTTTTATTTTAGGAAAAACTACTATACATTTTTATGTATTTTCTTCCAGAGTGTTTTGGTTTTTTTTTCTGAGACTTCAAAAAAGTAAAAGTATTCGTCAGCTCTGTTTGAAGTTTTGCATTCAGAAGCTGTCTTGCTAGTTTAATATTTTCATCCCAGTTAGATTAAATGTGTTTGGCTTGTTGGACATTAAAAGGCTCTCTTTAGGAACTTTCCATATCAAAGGAGACTTGACATAATAATATTTGCAAATTCAGGGATTGTTTGAGGTCTTTTTTTTTTTCCCCTGGAAAAAAAAAAATCACTGCTTTTCTCTTACTGAAAGAAAAAGTAAGAATTGCTTTGAAGAATATAAAAAACTCCCTGTGCCCAGGAATGTCTTCTAAATCTCTATCTATTTCAATATGAATTACCAGGCTAAAATGTTATGCTATGTTTAAACAAGTTTATCTTTAGAAATACATTTCATTTTATGCAGATGATGGATATTTGCATAAAGCTTTGAGTTGCGACGGGGAGATGTTCATTGTGGAAGAGCTCCAGCTGTTCCTGTCTCCTGCGCCCGTGCGGTCTCTCCGTCTGTCTTCTGCAAAGGTACAACTCCTGGCCCTACACATGGAAAGTGGCTGCTGCAATAGCTTCTCTCAGGCCTTGCTCTTCTGGGTTGTTCTTCTGGCTTTTAAATAGCCCGAAATCACTGCTTTTCTCTTACTGAAAGAAAAAATAAGAATTGCTTTGAAGAATATAAAAAACTCCCTGTGCCCAGGAATGTCTTCTAAATCTCTATCTATTTCAATATGAATTACCAGGCTAAAATGTTATGCTATGTTTAAACAAGTTTATCTTTAGAAATACATTTCATTTTATGCAGATGATGGATATTTGCATAAAGCTTTGAGTTGTGACGGGGAGATGTTCATTGTGGAAGAGCTCCAGCTGTTCCTGTCTCCTGCACCCGTGCGGTCTCTCCGTCTGTCTTCTGGAAAGGTACAACTCCTGGCCCTACACATGGAAAGTGGCTGCTGCAATAGCTTCTTTCAGGCCTTGCTCTTCTGGGTTGTTCTTCTGGCTTTTAAATAGCCTGTAAATGTCTCATAATTCTGCTTTTGTTATATATTCGTTAATAACAGAAGCATGAGGCTTTTTTTTTCTGTAGAAGAATTTATGTGTGTCAAAATGTAACTGAAACAAACCTTTGTGTTCATTAAATTAGGGAAGGATCTCTGCTATGGAAAGCTGTCGTAAATGTCTCATAATTCTGCTTTTATTATATATTTGTTAATAACAGAAGCATGAGGCTTTTCTTTCTGTAGAAGAATTTATGTGTGTCAAAATGTAACTGAAACAAACCTTTGTGTTCATTAAATTAGGGAAGGATCTCTGCTATGGAAAGCTTTTTTTTTTTTCTTATTCATATCACCATCTATTTTGGGTTTTTTTCTTATTCATATCACCATCTATTTTTTGTTTACTGATATTTTCAAGAATAAAATCTTATTCTTAAAATCTTACAACCCGTATTAGAAAATAAGAGCTAAAAATCTCACTTGCTGTTGTAAAAGAGCTCCCTCCTGCATTTCCAGGGCATGCTCTATGCGGGATCCCCCTCTCAGGTGGTGCAGCTGCCTGTCTCCCAGTGCCACCAGTACAAGTTCTGCCTGGATTGTGTCTTGGCCAGGGACCCGTACTGCGCCTGGTCTCCCGCAGCGAAGGAGTGTGTTGTGCTGGCTGAGCACACCGGCCGCACGCCGTGAGTAAAGGGCTGTTGTTTCAGCTCCACACCTGGTGTGAGATCACTTTATCACTGTATTTTTAAGTGCACTTTGAACACAAATCTAGGATGGTTCCTAGAAATGGAATGATACAAGCTGGAACGCTTCTTGTCTCCGTTTTCATCTGTCTGGTTTTGTTTTTTTGTTTTGTTTTCTTTTCTTTTCTTACTTCTTGTCTCTGTTTTCATCTGTCTGGTTTTGTTTTTTTTGTTTTCTTTTCTTTTCTTTTTTTTTTCCCCAGGAATTTAATTCAAAGTGTGAAAGATGGGGATGCTTCCAGCTGCCTCGGTGTAGGTATGTCAATGTCTGTTTTAAGAAGGAATATTTTAATTTCACGCGATGAAAACGCTTTGTGCTCACTGGAGTTCTTGCATTATAGAAAACCACAGAATTAAAATCCTGTTGATTATTACTTTTGAACTAAGACCCCAAAAAAACTCACACAGAGCTGTTACTGCCTAATGGCAGTAACCCTCTTAACCCTCTCAATCTAAATATCAGAATATGTCAGTTCAGACTGAAACTCTTACTCTCCAGGGAAGCACAAATGTGACCCTTTGAAGTTCCTGGTGTCCCTTGCACACCCACTTTGCAGAAATCCCACAAGACATCAAGTGTCCTGTTAAATCTGTCACTGCTTTAGGATGCTGTTCTGCAGATACATGACATGCTGTTCAAGAGCACGCTTAAAAAGAAGGCTGTTTGTTGTCAGCCACTTAAAATTATTTTCCTTATTTTTAGTGGGACTGGGAAATTAATTAGTTTTAACGTAGAATCGTGGGTGTGTGCGATCTGATATTTTTATGCAGTGACTTCGTAATGAGTGGTGAGATACATTGCTTTGTGACACAGGATGTGTCTCTTACCTTCCTTGTGTCTCTTTAAAGTCAGAGTTGTCTTTAGTCTTGGCTGTTTCAGCCTGCCTGACAAATGATAACAAGGCAATCAGTGGGACGGGTGGGAGCTCTTACGTGGCTGATAGAAGCTTCGTGCAGGCAAATCTAAACATCAAAGCATTTCTGTGAAGAGATGTCATTAACCAATCGAGAAGCTGAGGCATACAGAGGTGAATTTATTTATGCCTGGCTTTGTATACAGGCAAGGCAAAACCAGATTAAAATCTGGAAGTTTTAAACTTCTAGTCCAGAATTCATTCTGCTACACATTGTTGGGAATAGGGCCAGCAGGATGTCCCTGACAGACTCAGACCCCCTATAAAGGGATTTCTTTGCCTTCACCCGTTCCCAGTTCATTACCCATTATCAAGACTGATGAGTTAAATTTTATATTTATTTGAATATGTATTTGGTTTTGTAAATTAAACTCAATTCCCGGTGTTCTTACTTTAAAAAAAAAATCTTCCTAATTTCAGAGAATAGTGTGAGAAAATATCCTTTTACCCTTGGAAACAACGTTCATCTTAAATGTGTTCCTCTGTCGAATCTGGCGAGCGTGGTGTGGAAGTTTAATGGGAACAGACTCCGGGCAAAGGACTCCAAGTACCTCCTCTATGATGGAGGACTAGCAATATTGAATGTGACAAGGGATGAGGCTGGATTCTACGATTGTATCTCGGTGGAGAAATCCAGAGGGAAGGAATTCCTCATCACTATGGCCCGTTATGCCCTTTATGCCCGAGAAAAGCCAAAGGAAGCAAATGTTATCACCACAGCAAATCAGCGTGTTAAAGGAGGAGCTGAGGGGGTTTGGTCTTCAGAACCACAGTCATCATTGAACAAGGTGGGAAACCAGCCTCCTGCGGGCAGCCAGAGAGAGAACTTTGTTTTAAAACTCTTTGGGGCTGGGTTTGCACTTTTTTTCTTTTTCTTGTTGGTTTGGAACTTCCACAAGGGTCATTTATCCCTGCCTTGGAAGAGCAGAGAAACCAGCTCAAAACCCTCTGGTGTGGCTGGTTTGGGAAGTCCAGCGCTGGCCGCAGAGGGATCGGGCGGCGAAAGGAAGAGTAGAGCCACACAAACAGATATATCTGGTGTTCCTTATCCAGATGCTGGTGAGCCCTTCTTAAGGAGCACAGTGGGAACACGTAGGGGTGCCAGTTTCACAGGGAGCTGTGGGAGCTTGCAGCTGGCAGAGCTCTTTGGTTAAGGTGTCAGGATGTTTCCCCTTGAGGAATGTGGAATGTAAATTTGGGTAGGAGACAGAAGCTCCGGATTGAAGATGACAAGCTGCGTTGTGTATTACATAGTTGTGTTACCAGTTACTACTTTCTAAAAGAAAAATTCCTTGTTTGGTTACCTTTTTGACATGATAGAACCGTAAGAATAAATTTCTTTCAAAAAAATTGACACTGATCCACTTTTTTTCTAACGTTGGGGTTGCCCAATTACAGAAGTTAATACTTCAGAAGCTAATAATACTTAGCATTTAGCACTTTCACCTTCAGACTTTCTGTTTAATCTACGAATAGCAACTAATTAAGTCTCCCAGTGTCTCAAGAGGTTGCTGCTATCCTCATTTTACAGGGGAGGTTAAATTACTTGTCACTGACCATCGTGAGTATTGGTGTCAGATCTGGTGCTTCGTTAGAAGTTTTGGAGTCATCTTCCTTCTCTTTTATCTGTTTTCCTTTCCCTTTATTGAGGCTTTCCAAACACTTTACATGCATTTATTTTTCAAATGTGTTTTTAGTGACCTTTATGATACATTTTCCCTCTGTCCAAAAATGTCATGAATCAACTTAAATCCTGCATTGTTGTTCTGAGTTTATTTCTGAGCTGTGGTCACAATTCAGACGTTGCAGCTCCTTCTGCTAAAGGCCGTTGAGAGTTGAGTGTTTTTTCTGAGCCACTTTTTTCTTCATTTTTAAATAAATGTTCTCTGATGTTTTCTTCTTTGGAAAACGACCTGGGTTCTTGATGGGGAAGATCCCTGGACAAAAGGCTGTGCTGCCTTGCTCTGTCTCTTGCCAGACACACGTGAAGTCCAAGGTTGATGCAATTCTAGACACAGCACACTTTTTCCCGGTTTTCACGTGGCTGTGGAAGGAGAAACCCCCTCGGAAATGGATTCTCCCCTGTGGAAGGCTGTACCAGCTGTAGCAAGACACTTGCTTTTGAGTTAAATGGGAACACTTGGAAATGAAGAGGATGTGTATAACATGGAGGAAAAACCAGAGAAGCTGTTATTTAGTGTTTTTTTCTCCCTGAAAACATAAATAGGTTATGCTCCTTTCCACTGGAGCAAAGTCCTAGTTTTAGGATGCCTTCTTTCTCCCAGATCAAATTATTCTTCTGTTCTGCTCCATAACAACAGGTTCTCATGTGTGAATGCTGTAGAAGGAAGGAGAGGGCAGTTTTTAGACTTGGAAGAAGCCAATTCATGGATTACTGTGTCTGTCCCACTGCTGCTTTACCAACACACTGATGGCCAGCCCAGCCCAAACCATGGCACCTTTCCTGGGAAGGACGTAGAGCTGGGAACAACATCAGCCTTTCTGGCAAGGTGAAGCCATCGGCATGAAGTCTGGCCAAGAGAACTGCATCACATGGAGCTCTGGAAGAGAGAAGACCAAATAGCTGCTGGCAAACTTACACCAAGACCTGCCTGGCTGCCTATCAGTGTGATGAAAGAACAAGGTCTGAGGTGCACGTCTTGTCTCCATTGGAAAGGCAATCTGCTTCCTCCCAGGGTTCCTTTACCTCTATTCCTACTCCCTGGCTGCAAAGGACTGTATGGCAATTAATGATGGAGGCTGGATGGCACTATATAACTAATAACATGGGAAGTGATGGAAATTTCCATTCTTACCTTTGGGGACGGTGACTCTCTTCCCTTAGTGGAAGGAAGTGCAGATGGAATACAAAACCCCATTTCAGAAAATCCTCACAAGGCTGCCAAGCGTTTGGTTTTAGTTCAATTCCTGCTGATCTAATTACCCTAATTTAAACGTGTAAAAAATAATTAGCTTCTGTCAGAGAAGTCGTAGATAAGTGCCCGTTACCAGGTCGATAGGAATCCCGGTGTTCTTACTTTAAAAAAAAAATCTTCCTAATTTCAGAGAATTCCCCGGTGTTCTTACTTTAAAAAAAAAAAAAATCTTCCTAATTTCAGAGAATAGTGTGAGAAAATATCCTTTTACCCTTGGAAACAACGTTCATCTTAAATGTGTTCCTCTGTCGAATCTGGCGAGCCTGGTGTGGAAGTTTAATGGGAACAGACTCCGGGCAAAGGACTCCAAGTACCTCCTCTATGATGGAGGACTAGCAATATTGAATGTGACAAGGGATGAGGCTGGATTCTACGATTGTATCTCGGTGGAGAAATCCAGAGGGAAGGAATTCCTCATCACTATGGCCCGCTATGCCCTTTATGCCCGAGAAAAGCCAAAGGAAGCAAATGTTATCACCACAGCAAATCAGCGTGTTAAAGGAGGAGCTGAGGGGGTTTGGTCTTCAGAACCACAGTCATCATTGAACAAGGTGGGAAACCAGCCTCCTGCGGGCAGCCAGAGAGAGAACTTTGTTTTAAAACTCTTTGGGGCTGGGTTTGCACTTTTTTTCTTTTTCTTGTTGGTTTGGAACTTCCACAAGGGTCATTTATCCCTGCCTTGGAAGAGCAGAGAAACCAGCTCAAAACCCTCTGGTGTGGCTGGTTTGGGAAGTCCAGCGCTGGCCGCAGAGGGATCGGGCGGCGAAAGGAAGAGTAGAGCCACACAAACAGATATATCTGGTGTTCCTTATCCAGATGCTGGTGAGCCCTTCTTAAGGAGCACAGTGGGAACACGTAGGGGTGCCAGTTTCACAGGGAGCTGCGGGAGCTTGCAGCTGGCAGAGCTCTTTGGTTAAGGTGTCAGGATGTTTCCCCTTGAGGAATGTGGAATGTAAATTTGGGTAGGAGACAGAAGCTCCGGATTGAAGATGACAAGCTGCGTTGTGTATTACATAGTTGTGTTACCAGTTACTACTTTCTAAAAGAAAAATTCCTTGTTTGGTTACCTTTTTGACATGATAGAACCGTA